TAACGGTCTTCCCTGTTCCCCCAATCCCCTACCACTACTTCTTTTCGAAACGGGCGTGTGCACGTGTGCGTGTGTATACGCGTGTTTGTGTGCTAATCATACGGGATAAAGCCGCTCTATAAGCCTCTCTTTTTGAGAACAATACGTTTCTTCAGGGACAGAGTAGGGATTCCATCAGGCGTAAAAGGAATACTCTTAGGGGAAATATACCACATTTACCTGGCAACGGGTAGGTAAATAAATTCCATTGCCGGTTGCCCAAACAATGATTTAGCATACAGTAAATCATCTATGGAATGAACCATTATAGACGCTATAATCATAAATAATAAAAAATTAATATATCTAAGGAATGGACCATTATAGAAACTATACTTAAAAGAAATAACAAAATAAAATATCTATGGTATTAACCATTTTTCTGATTTAAGAAATGGAGAATTACAGAATTTATCACTAGAAAAATGAATTAGTTTTTTTTTTTAAATTTTTTAAAAACAAAATAAGAAATAAAATCTTATGTACGTCTGTATAAAATGAAAATATTAAAAGAATGTTGTGCCTTTATACAATAACAATATCATTGTCATGTATTTTGAAGAAAAGTGTTTATAAAGGATATTATAATTTTTTATATTATTAATTCTTAAAGTTTTTAAACCTATAAAGCGAGTCTGCACCGTACGTTTCAACCGTTACATATTTACGTTCACCGCATTTGGCAGCTAATCGCATTTAGCAGTTGTCTTATAGTTTAGCCACTTTGTAGTTTGTGTATATTTTCTATTTTAATTTAGACAACTTGAATTATGTGAAGAGCTTATCAGTTGGCAGGAATTATATGTGGAATTTTCCATGTCGCATTACGCTGTGTAGCGTAAAAATTTTCAAATTACTATTGTTGTGACTGACGCACCGTTGATTTCGCTAAATTTAAAAGGCTTTGCATCACTTAATAGGGAGGTGGGGCCCAGGAGGAGGAGGAGGGGTGGTGATTAATCTCTTCACCGAGAGTGTCACACAGACACACTTATTACCTCTCTCTCGTAACCCCCATTACCCCCTATTTTGCCCCATCCCGTTTGCTGCAATGCAATTTGCATAACTGCAGCTGCTGGCATATAGAAATGTGATTCATACGGAGGCATTTTCTGGCCCAAATCAAATGACATACACGTACGTAATCGTCATATTTTTCAATTCCGATGACCTAATGCCAACATCCGATGTAAGGAAAAACACAAAAACAACGCGCACACTGACAGAAACCCATTGATAATTCTCCTAACCTAGCAATTGTCTTTATCAAGAACTGTGCGAAATCCAATTTGAGAGACTTGGCTCCAACTAAAGGCTTACATATACACTTCTGATTCCCGCTCTACATCCAAGATAATTGAATTTTTAGCGCTTCTTTTGTTTGCAAACAAATATCAACAGCTTGCTTGTGTGTTGGTTAGCCGATTTCTTGTTGTTTTGCCTCAGCTGATGTAGACCGCATGAGTCAGTCGGACAAAAAGCGAAAAAAAAAAGTTGAATGCTCTATCAGTGAATCGAAAAATTAAAGGGTTTTCAAGCAATTCATCCATTAATTGGTGTACAAAAGAAAATACCATTGTTTATACAAGAATCAAGGTCTTGGATATATAAGAGAAGGGCCTTTAAGACAATCTATACTGTATGGGTCTTTGCGGGTGGGCGACACTATTTTGGAAATCGTTGCGTCTGATATTTTATTAGCATTTTTTCGGTTTATTACGCTAACTCGCAGCGAAGGCCGCAGCACGCAACTGCGCAAATGCCGGTGAATTGGCCAATTGTCCCGTGAAATCGTCCCATGTTTAAGGCATCTTTATAGTGCTTGTCTAGTACAAAAAAAGTACTCAATAATATCGCGAGAGGCGTTAATGGCCAAAGATGCAGTCCCGGCCGGTCAGTTGCGGTTTATTCTCAACAGTTTGTTTTGCTTTTCTCTCGCAATCTTGAGTTTTCCTCCCACGCCGCCACTTTCTTGGTACACTTGGGGTTACAACTATAGTAACTATAAGGTAGAAGCAATGTACGATCCAAAAACTTATTTTAATAATTATCTAGATCAATATAGATCTTAGAATCTTTATAAAACCATGTATTTTTGCCATATTTTTTTATTTTGTAAGTCGTTAATAGTATTCCATTATTATTCCCACCGCTGGTGTTGTACTATGTGGAACGATAATTTTATTAATAAACACCAATAAACAACTCGTCGCTGGTGTGCTTGTTTTACTGGCATATACATAAATTTAATAATAATATGTACGTATTTCCCAACTTTTGCGTTGCCGTGGAGGTTTTCAACCGGTTCGGGCGATGAGATCGGAACTAGAAAAAGGGAAAAGACGAGTAGATACAGTGTATGGCCAGCAAATATCAATTGAAATTGTAGTGCATGCCAAGCCAATAAAACCGGAATAATATACACGGAGATAAAGGCAGAGCCAGGCCAATTGAAGCGCCCCCAACTTTTTCCGCCGTCCCGATTTGCATTGTACGATATTATTATTATTATTATTATTTCGATGACCTTGAGTTTGGGGTGCCGCAGTTGTTTGAACTCGTTGCTTTTGCTTTTGTCGTCTGCTTTGTGGTATTCGTTGTTTTCTGTTTTTGACAGCTGTTTGGCGCCTCTAACGGTTGTGGGCATACCCTTCAGTTTTTTTGGATGGTTATATTTGGTGCCCAATGGGTCCCAAATGATTTATGATGAAGTAATCATCTGGAATTAATTACTTTCATTTTTCCTCGTTTGTTTTGTTTGGCTGCTTCTCAAGTGATTTCCATATCTCTGCATTCTTAAAAGATTTCGCAATTCGTTTTGTTTTGACTTTTGCTTTTATCGTGCGTTCGCTTGCCTCTTGGGTATATCTCTTGGCGGTTCTTTTATTGTTTTATTTATAGTGATCACGCCACTTTTTGTTTCGGCTCTAGCGATGGTACCATTTTTTTCGCCTTTCTTGCTCCATGTTTTCCATCCTACTTACAATTTTTGGCAATGCAATACAAGATGTTAATCAAATGATTTATGATTTGTTTCCATTCGCAATGCACGTGGGTTTCTTTGTATATTTCTTGGTATTTCTTATTGATCCAGTCCACATCCTAGTTGATTGATGAGACTTCTCAACATTGTAAACATGCATGTATACAAACGCAACAATTTAAGCCTTTGTTTGCTGTTAAATTCCATTAGCTAAGAAAATATATCTTTTCAATTGGTTACATAAAGGCCCATTTCAATGATTTTTTACCTTATTATTAGATTAAATTGAAATATATTTATAAAAATGTACCCTAACTATCCTAAAAGTCGAAATAATTAAAGATACAAGTTCACTTACTAAGATATTTCACAAATTGAATAGCTTTAATGAGACAATCTCCTGCGTGAAGAGAGGCCTAAGTCAAGGAACTTAAGTCCCGCTTCATAGCCAAGGAATCCCAGAGAACAATGGCAGATGAGTACCCACAAATTGCTGGTGCTGCAACCATATTGCATTGTTGCTGGCCGGAACCATGGCAACATCTTATCTTGACATGCAAGCAACTATCTGCTCATAATAGCGCAAACAATCCGCCTGAAAGGGAGATGAAGGGCTGGGTCCACATATTTGACTTTAAACTGTTTGCCCTGCCAATAGACAATATTTTCCTTGTTCATTTAGTGGTAGTAGGGAGCATTGCAGGATGTTCAAAGGCAAGCACTTGGTAATTGGAATTCTCATTTTGGCTATAAGACTGCGTGCCCTGAAATTCGATTGATTGGTCGCCATTGGTTGTGCACATGAATTTCGATTTAATTATTTCACCTCGAGCGCAATGCAGAGACATGAGTATTGTATTCGAGGTCTCAACAGAAACCCTCAATATACATATGTATGTATGGAATTACGGGTATAATTGGAAGTTGGGCAACCAAAACCCCCTGTTCATCAACCTTCCAATCTGAAACAAAAGATGGCTTCCCTCCTTCTGCATAAAATGAACACTGAAAGGAAAATAGGGCTTAAAATATATATTATAATAACATTAATCGAACCTTATATTGAAAATCCTATAACGTTTTGCGTTTTCGGCATTTCATGCCAACAAGTTGCTAACCCACTTGTTGCCCTTTTTTGTTAGATCTCCAGCTCTGTCTGAACCATAATTCTTGAGCAAGGTTTTCCTTTCGTTTGGCCCGCTCCGCGCGTTGTGTTTTAGCCATATAGCTTTGGTTGGGGAAACAAAGAACCGGTTTTGGCCAGCAGCAATGTGAACCCACTTATTGCGCATGAGGTATTCGAATGATGATTACAACATGCGTCCGAATGGAAAATCTGATGTTTCAATGGCTGTTCTTCCTAACAGCCTGATTCACCTTGTAATCAGTTCGGTATCCAAAGTCTTTAGTCATGCTTACAGCCCTGTATATTGACGGACTTTATTGTTCTTCACGACTTATCACAGGCTATCAGTAATCGTTTCAGGGTCGCCTTTGTGATTGACCTATGGCGTGAGGGTGGCTTGGAGACGTGGCCCCTTTGTGGGCGCTACTTCCCGATACACAAAGGCAGATAATGTACGAGTATATCTATATACGAATACGTTATCGGCAAATTGCTGCAGTGCGCCTATTCATTATGAAATTCGACAACGGAACTTAAAAGATGCTAAAAAAAAAGTGAAAGATTGTTGCAGAAATAGAAATTGAAGTACTGTGCCCTACAGTTATATAATTTTGAAAATCTTTATTAAAGAACAGAAAATATCAGGTTTAATCCCTTTCATTCTTAATGCTCTTCGAGGAAAAGTTCGGTGTCTTCATATAATCATTAAACAAGATGAATGCTTTTTGAACCACGGTTACAGGTGGTAAGAATATACATATTAAGTAACTTTTGCTGACTGCACTTTGCAAATTGGCCACATGTTATCAGGAAAATGTGTTACTTGTAACCCGGTAGCCTAGAACATTTTACACTCTTTAGGGGACGGCTATAAAAAGAAGCTGCAGGTTGGTTAGTTGTCAGAGCACAGAAGCGAAAGCGGTAAAGTTGCCAACTACAGCTAGTTATCCTTTTGCGTCGCCGAAAATATTCGATGAATCTGTGTAAGTGTCCTTTTGAAAAGTTTTAAGGGACCCTCCGCTCAAACTTCCTTTGCAGCTAGCCTTTTCCTTCTGGCCCTCGTGGCATCCGTCGCTATCTGCGCCGGATCTGCCCACAGAATAAGCCGGCCAGTATCTCCAAAGGAGCCGTGTCAGGCCATTACCACCACTCCACCATGTGAGACAATAACCACCACTACAACAAGCCCAGAACAGCCACCCTGTGAGCCGACAACCACTACAACACCAAAGCCCGAAGAGCCATCTGAGCCGACAACTACCACAACACCTCCTCCATGCGAGACGACAACCACTACCACTACGACAACAACCACAACAACGACAACCACTACCACAACTACAACAACCACAACTACAACAACCACAACAACAACAACCACAACAACAACTACTACAACAACCACGTCAACACCTCCATGTGAGACAACAACCACTACCACGACAACCACTACCACAACTACAACAACCACAACTACAACTACAACAACCACAACTACAACAACCACAACAACAACAACAACTACAACAACACCTCCATGTGAGACGACAACCACTACAACAACAACCACTACAACGACAACCACTACCACTACAACGACAACCACTACAACGACAACCACAACTACAACAACCACAACTACAACAACCACGACTACAACAACCACAACTACTACAACAACCACGACAACCCCAGAACAGCCACCCTGTGAGCCAACAACCACTACAACCCCAAAACCAGATGAGCTCCCCTGTGAGCCTACAACCACTACAACACCAGCGCCAGAGGAGCCAGAAGAGCCCTGTGAGCCCACCACCACCACAACACCGCCTCCTTGTGAAACGACAACCACTACTACTACGACAACAACCACTACAACGACAACCACTACCACAACTACAACAACCACTACCACTACAACAACGACCACGACAACAACAACCACAACAACAACAACCACAACAACAACAACCACGACAACAACAACCCCAGAACAGCCACCCTGTGAGCCAACAACGACTACAACACCAATACCAGATGAGTCCCCCTGTGAGCTAATAAGCACCACAACACCAACCCCAGAAGAGTCTCCATGTGAGCCAACAACTACCACAACCCCACCTCCATGTGAGACAACAACCACTACAACAACGACAACAACCACTACAACGACAACTACTACCACTACAACGACAACTACTACCACAACAACCACTACCACAACGACAACAACCACGACTACAACAACCACAACCACCACTACAACAACCACGACTACAACAACTACAACCACTACAACAACAACCACGACAACAACTTGTTCCCCAACAACAACAACGACAACAACCCCAGAACAGCCACCATGTGAGCCAACAACCACCACAACACCAACCCCAGAACAGCCACCCTGTGAGCCAACAACTACCACAACACCACCTCCTTGTGAGACAACAACCACTACCACTACGACAACAACCACTACGACAACAACCACTACGACGACAACCACAACAACCACTACAACGACAACCACTACTACAACCACAACGACAACAACACCAGAACAGCCCCCTTGTGAGCCAACTACCACAACACCTCCCCAAAAAGCTCCCTGCACCCGCACCACAACTTCTGCACCACCTTGTGAAGAGACAACCACTCCGGCCTGTGATGAGAGTGCTTCCGATAAGCTGACAACCAAGCCAGCTAAGAAAACCATTGCTAAGCCGAGCAGCACCATCAAAGCCATCGTCTCAGTCGGAACGAGTGCCATGTGCGCTAACCGCGCCGAAGGAACCATAATCCAGGACCCGAACCATTGCAGGAGGTACTATGAATGCCGCGGCGGACGTCGCCTGTTGCGCAAGTGTCGTACTGGTTTGTGGTATGATTCGGAGGCCGGAGAGTGCCTGCCACGCAGTGAGGTCCTGAACTGCCCGGCTCAACGTAACTAAAACCCTTTTGCCACCTTCAGTCAACTGGAATGGGGCCAGAGCTTGCATTGGTCCTTGCTATCCGTAACTAACAGTAACCACCTACTCAATAAACAGCATATTAATCACAACCAAGACCATAGAGGAAGAGATTCTCTATGTATTCTTCTGGGGGTGCTAAAAGATTAAGATCTACAAGATGATCCCTTGCTGAAGTTACATTTTAAACGATTTTTATTCATAGATTATTTGTCAAGCTAGTGTTAGAATCATTCAGATTGTAGTTGTCAACTAGTTATAGCTTAAATTGTTGACTGAGTTGATTGCGAGCGGTATATTTTATAGATTGAGTACTTAAAGCAACAAAAAAGTTCGAATAGGTAAACTGCGCACAAAGTATTTACTTGACTGGAAGTCATTGACTCCACACTTGTGGCTATCAAATAGCTAATTAATGAAAGTGATTACATGTGGCGATTATTTTCAGTGATACTAGAGAGCGCCGATTGCAGATTGTAAATGTATACGATTATTCGTGTTTTAATAATAACTCAATTTACTATGTGCGACAAACAATTCAAAATTGTGTGGACATCATAAGAGATAAGAGTGATCCGTCGCATCCGCTTTCGGTGTTTATGCTGTCCACGACTAACCCAGAAAAGGTTCGTTCTGAACTCCCTCCCAAGACCTTTTCTTATCGCACCTTATCGAGGACAGTTGATAATGCGTATCAGGGAATGGGAATCAATTTGAAAGCGTCGAGCAATTGATATCAATTAAGCGACACCCACGGGGGGAAGTCAAGGGGTCTAATTTGTGGGCCCCTCATTGCTTATGCATTTGCGCGGGACCCGTGCAAAACAGCAATAGAGGAAAAATACCACCAAAAACCCTCGATCTTCAATGACAATAGAAGGCAAAGGCCATATTTTGCAGAGATCCGATTGAGGTTCCCTAGCATTTGCATCGGAAAATAAGTCAAGGCAACTGGGAGGTCGGCAAAAGTAGAGGAGAATGAACATTGATCACAACGCGTGATCGTGATCAATCGCCCATCGACAATCAAGTGCAACGGGTGACAAGCACTTGTGGCCGCAATTCTCTGTGGCTGGCTGGTGATGGGTGATCTGGGAGGCAACAAGTGGGGGATGCTGTTCTCGCATTACAATTGCAAATCTAGCAAGGCACGTGCCGGCTGCATGTGCTCTGCTTTGGCGTATGGGTCCAAAGATCTCGTGTTACCCAAAGCAATGCAATTTATAGGCCTATTTATTACCAGAATAATGCGCCGGCAAGAAAGTAAATTCAGACTGAAAATAATCTCTACAACGATAAAATAATTGAGGATAACTATTATTGTAATAATAGATGTTAGAGATAAATCTGGGTAATTGTAAAGGCTGAACTTGGTATATATATTTTGGGGTCAACTTAAAATGTTTGCTTTCATCCCTTGACCTAATTCCTTATCTACTGGTTAAAATTCTATAATAACATTACAGGTTATTGACCTTATTATCAAATTTAGTTTTTCTAACCCAAAACGAAATCATTATTTCTACTTGCAGGTAAACTTTTTACTCTGCCAAATATTGGCTCTCTTCCTGGCCTCACTCTTCCGGTCCGTGCTGCATCCTTCAAAGGTTTCAAGTAAACTGCGTCACACTTTCGCCCTCTCGATTGGCTTGGCCTTTGGCTACTTTTGCTTTGGCAAGCAGGCTATCCACATTGCCGGACTTCCGGCAATATGTTACATTGTCATCCGCACCCAGGATCCGCGCATCGTTCAAAGGTAATTGCAAACGACCAATTACGAGGCTTTTAACTAATTGTTTCCAATTTTAGAGCCGTCCTGCTGGTGGCCATGTGCTATCTTCTGTGCATTCATTTGATGCGTCAGCTTTACGACTATGGATCCTATGCCCTGGACATTACCGGGCCCCTAATGATCATCACCCAGAAGGTGACCAGTCTGGCCTTCAGCATTCACGACGGCTTCGTGCGTGGCGATGAGGTGAGTGTTAAGTGGATTGAGCGGAAGTATTATTATATCAATTGTGTTTTCTTTTTCGGCTGACAGGAACTCACCAAAGCCCAGCAGTACCATGCCATTCGCAAAATGCCCTCGGCCTTGGAGTACTTCTCGTACGTGTGGCACTTCCAGAGTATTCTGGCCGGACCTCTGGTCTTCTACAAAGACTACATCGAGTTCGTGGAAGGCTACAATTTACTGAGCAGTCCGCCGGGCAACGTAAGTTTAATTATGTCACCTGACTGCATGGTAACCACTGCAGAAATTTCATTACCGATATGGTAGGAATGTGAGCTAGGTACTCGACTTTACTCTCTCCATTACACCACAATAAGGTCATGATTTTTAAACGATAGTAATTAAAATCAGATAGAATCTTTCAATTGATTAATTATAATTATAAGAGAATTGAAGAAAAAGCTATTGTATTGTAATAATGTAGTACACTTGCCTTATAACTAACATATTATTTGTATAATAACCAATTTCGTATTCCCTTTTCTCAGGGCAATCTGGAGAACAGCAAGAGGGAAGTAGTGATTGAACCTTCACCAACTAAAGCGGTGATACGTAAAGTGGTTGGCAGTCTCGTGTGTGCATTCATATTTATGAAGTTCGTGAAAATATATCCTGTAAAAGACATGAAGGAGGACGACTTTCTGGACAACACCAGCATGATCTACAAGTACTGGTACGCCATGATGGCTACCACCTGCATACGCTTTAAGTATTATCACGCCTGGCTCCTAGCGGATGCCATATGCAACAACTCAGGCCTAGGTTTCACTGGCTACGATAAGGATGGCAACCCCAAGTGGGACCTGATATCCAATATCAATGTGCTGTCGTTCGAGGTGGGTAGTTAAAAGCCTTAAATATTTTAAATATAATAAATAATCAATGTTATATTTGACAGTTCTCAACGAACATGCGCGATGCGATCAACAACTGGAACTGCGGAACCAACCGCTGGCTGCGAACGCTCGTCTACGAACGGGTTCCCAAGCAGTACGGCACGCTCCTCACCTTTGCCCTCAGCGCCGTCTGGCACGGCTTCTATCCGGGCTACTACCTGACCTTCGCCACCGGAGCCGTCGTTGTGACGGCTGCGCGCACCGGCCGGCGACTCATCCGCCACCGCTTCCAGAGCACGCAGGTCACGCGAATGTTCTACGACATCCTAACCTGTCTGATAACACGCGTCGTACTGGGCTACGCCACATTCCCATTCGTTCTGCTTGAATTCATGGTGAGTCCGCCATGCGAGTCAGTATTTTTTGTTGATGAACATGGAAAAGGGTGAAAATATTTTATCAAATGTGACACAGAAATCTCTTTGTATTGATGTATGCCAGAACTCAGTACGAAGACATTTCTGTGTTACTCCAGAAAATATTAATGTTATAATCTATTTTTTTTCTTCTGATGTAAATTAATTCAAAACTTACTTACAAAACATTTGTTAGTATTGTTTAAAATTGCAAATTAGGAATGGAAATTCAATAATTTTTGTTAGTACTTTATCCTTTGGAATAGCGGCTGTCCTAAACCTAAAGTAATTTTAGAATCAATAACTAAACAATTTCCATTAACTACTTGCAGGATTTTTCTTCTACTTTTTTGCATAAACAAAAATCAACTCGCGCTACATTAAATTATATTTTCTCAGAGATCACTTATTAATCGACTTCATGTTTTCGCTTTACAGGGCAGCATCAAATTGTACCTGAGATTTTATTTGTGCCTTCACATCATTTCACTAGTGACCATATTTATTTTACCCAAGTTTATACGCGGCGAACGCCGTTCTCGCACGTCGAATGGCAACGGAAACGTCCGGCTGTCGGGCAGCGGCAATGTCAAGGATGCGGTGACCACCAATGGGGGATCTACAGCAGCTTTGACCGCTGGCAATGATCTCAACGAGGATAGAGAGGAGGATGAGCACGCTCAATGTAAAGTCCACACGCCTACACATCAGCAGCCAGCTGCTGCCTTACACAACACAACTGAACAACAGTCAACCGAGCAACCGAACAATGTAAACCTTCGACCACGCCCACAGCAGAAGCAGCAGCAGACACATCTGGAGAAGCAGCCGATGTCCAGGTGCGCCCGGGACGCGGTTAGCGTGCCCCATGACCAATGCGAGATGGATCAGCTGTCCAGCAAGCTAAAGGAGAAGATCGAGGCCGAGACGAAAAACATTGAGGAATTTATTGATAAGACTGTAACCGAGACCGTCAGCGGCATTGTGGAGTTCAAAAACGATCTGATGCGGGACATCGAGTTTCCCAAGCTGAAGCTGCCCGGTAGCAACGGCGGCATTCCCTTAGACTCTTCAAATGGCGTGGGTCTGCGCAAACGCAACATATCCTCTGTCCATGACAATGGCACAGAACCTGGCAAGTCCACCGCCGACCTCCATCATCCCGTCGAGGAGAACGGCGCCGCCTTTCTGAAGAAAGAGATCGAGGTTATTAACGCGGTGGTGCAGCAGGCGGTGCCGGCAGTGCTTAGCAATGGCCATGCGAAATAGTAGCATCGACGAGCAAGTGTAAGGAATCCGAACAAAACAACGATGACGAAGGTGCCACGGCAGGGATTGGAGGCGGGCATGTTTCGAAATGGGTGCTGCACAACTGATTGATTGATTAATAGATACATTTATTAAACTGAGATTTATCCAACACGCACACTATATACGCACAGTACACACTCACTAACAAATGCAGACACTTTTTGGTTTAATTTTGAATATAACGTTTTTCGTTGATAGTCCTGAAGTACACAGATTGTTTACACTAAAGTTAGTGTCTAAGGTGGCGGATAAGCCAAATAATAAATAAGATGCACTTTTATATTCGGTATACATATTTATCAGCAGGCAGAACCTATGTTTAAAATAACTAAATGTGCACCAAACTCTAATTGTTGTTAAAAAGAATCTATGTATGTTTGTAGATGTTTGTTTGTTAAGATCCCGCAGCCTGAGCCAAACAGGGTTTTTCAAATGTAATCCGTACACATATCCTCAAGAATTATACAAACCTTGAAAGATCAATCGATCTTAAAGCGTGCAAAGAACCAGCCGACTGAATGCAATCCAATACTTTATACAAAATTGTTTTAAGAACGCTACAGCTACATTTGAAACGCATTGTTTGACTCTTGCTCCTTAAATTGGAACATAATCCATTTATATGTATGTATGTGAACCTGCATATGTTGAAACATTTACCATATAGTCTATGTGCGAGCAAGTAAACCAATTTTCCAACGTCAGTACTATTGTAGTTAAATTCCCGCCCAAAGGAACGGTAACCGATCGTGACAAGTAGAACCAATGATATCCTCTTCAAGCAACAAAAAAAGATGAAATACAAAAGTCAACCAAATCTAAACTTTAGACTGAAACTATTGACAAGTACTAAGCAACAACAAAAAAGCAAAAAGCCAAGCAAATCGTGCGTAGTTAAAGTTAGTTAGTAAGCCGTCAAGTTGTTTTTGATATTAAATTTAAACCAATTTTTGTACAACTGCGCGAGTGTGTCTGGAAAGGAAAGTCCAGCTTGCTTCCTCTTTATATAACCTTCCCCACCCGGCATTTTAGCTGATCCAACTCTTTTTGTAAATGTTCGTGTCCTCCACTTGTGGCTTCCTACTCCGTAGATCGTAAGCATGCTCTTTATATAACCTTTTTGTTTTACCCATTATCTTGTTAGACCCAACAAACTATTTCGCCACAAATCCTCACATAAGCGATATATTTTTATATTTATTGTAATACCAGAAAAGAAAAAAATCACTGTAACCGTAAGAGATTTCGGCGCACATTTGTTTCGATTGTCGTATTTTTCTGCTGAAAAGAAACTCAGAAGAAATTAACGACAGGCACCAAGGTGTTATGCAGTCCAGTTGCATCAGATATACAAACCCAATTTGAGCATTGATATTCGACAAATAAATCGTATATGTGTAGTTAACTTTGTTTACTTTTATTATAAGTGGTGTTTGAGTGGACATTTATTGCCAAAATTTTGCATAAAGAACATTTTTTTTTTATTTGGTTAACTCTGAGTTGAAGTCCAGAGACTCGAAATTTTTTAAATCGACACATTCTGTGTAAAATCAGGTGAAGTTTGAAAAACCCACGAATCCCTAAGAAAACGAATTAAACTGGTTTCTCTATATTTTTGGCAAATCAAAATAAACGTAATTTCTCAATATATAAATGGTTATTTTATAACTTAAAAAAGGCAACTGAAAGACTCGAAGAGTTATTTAAAAACTTTGTTGCTTATCTTAATAAATTCCACAAAATGGCACGTGAAAGTCCCATGACGTTGCCTCTAATGGGGCACATATGAATAATACTTTTGGATATTATGGATGCATATCCGGATAGTTCCAGAACATAGTCTTAGAATTCCAGACTGCCGGTTATCTTGTAAAAGTTGTCGCCAGTGCGCGATCGCAATGCGCACATCTTCACTGCCTGGCACTGGATCGTACCGAAGTCGAAGTCTCCAAAGCGCTCCAGAATCTCACGGGCATCAAACGTGTCCCCTGGCTTCATCGCCGCCTGGCGAAATTGGACGTTCATTATCGTCATGTGCATCTGGATAGAATCGCGATGGTATTTATCTGAGGTGCACAGTCCGGTCCTCTGGAAGTGGGCGAAGCACCGATCTGCGAACTTCTGCAGGTCCGGAGATTCGATGCGACCATAAAGACGACGAGTGGAGCTAGGATCTGCATTTGTTACTTCCAGGCCCTTGACCTTAACTTGGAAAGGGGTTTTTAGGTCAGCCAGTAGGGAACGGCATGCCTGCAGTTCATTCAAAGCTCTTTGGTGCTCTTCGTCATCCAGAAGCACAAAGACAGAGAAAGTAAAATGCACGCAATTCTCTGATATGAATAGCCCCTCATCAATTCCTGGCAATTGGGCCTCCAAAATGTTTTTCTGGAAATGGTTTGGATCAGTATTTTTTGGAGGACTTTGAATTGATCTGTACCTTAAGCTCAATATAACGATCCTGAATATTAGAATAGTTCAGAGTTACGGTCAAAAAGTGGGTGGCCCCCATCTTTCGCATGGAGGTGATAAGATGGCGGATCTGACGCAGTGCAGCGACCACGTGACTGCGTTGCTTGGCCCTTATAACCACGTCAGTAGATTCATCCATCAAACCTGGAATGCTGACCTCGGAGTTGGTTAAATCCTGAATGCTGCGCCTTGTAGCACCTTTGAGACCAATTAATCTCCCATAACACGACCTGCAGGGATATGCTTAACAGAGGTGGACAGCATTTCCCAGTCTTTACTCACTTTGGAACATAGAAAGCCAGCTTAAAGTCGCCATTTGGCTCCTGCTCAATGTGGCTTACAACCGGATCATTTTCGTCTTCACAATGAAGATCTGTCGGAAAAGAATCAGTTTTTAAATAAATAATTACCAAAAAAGCAACTCACCTGGGCTCTGACAGGCCTTGGTCTCTACTTTAAAGCTCATTTTGTTCTGGTAAAACAAAAAGCGATCACTGCACTTGCTTTCACGGGGATGTACAAAAATACAAATGATCTATGGATAGAAGAGTGCCGACGATAATGAAATCCCTAGTGCGTATTAAGGGTGGGATCCAGAAATACTACAAAAAATGCCAAAGTTGTGTTAGAAGCTATCGTGGGCGGTATTTATGTATTAGCTTTTATTTAATAGCTTACAAGTATTTGGTCTATTTTACCCTAGAGAAAAATTGAAATCATTGTGGTCAGATGATGATGATTGTAAATCAATGGAGCCAAGAAGTACAAAAGAACAGAAAATAATAGTTTTATAGCCGATTCTTTAAAGAATCTGTGATCCCATTTATTTACATGCAAAATTCCCATTTGTAGTTCTATGGATAATTGGAAATAATCTTATAATTATAATTATCGGAGGGATCGACACAAATTCTTAAAACTCCAGGCTGCCGGTTATTTTGTAGAACTCGTCTTCCCCGCGCGATTTCAGCACGCACAGGTGCACTGCCTGGCACTGAGCTGTTCCGAAGTCAAAGTCCCCAAAGCGCTTCAGGATCTCGCGGGCATCGAAGCTATTTCCAGACTTCATTGCCTCCTTGCGGTAGCGGTTGTTCATCAGAGTCATATGAAGTTTGATGGATTCACGTTCGTTGTTATCCGTGGCGCACAGTCCGGTACTTTGGAAGTGGGCCAAGCACTGATCTGCGAACTTCTGCAGGTCCGGTGACTCGATGCAACCGTATAGGATGCGCGTGGAGCTGGGATCGTCGTTCATAATCTCCAGGCCCTTGACTTTCATTTCGAAAGGAGTTTTGAGGTCAGCCAGTAAGGGCCGACAGTCCTCCAGCTCCTTAAGGGCCCTTTGGCGTTCATCATCATCCAAGAGCACATAGACACCTAAGGTAAGGTGGATACTGCTCTCAGGCATGAATAACTCCTCATCAATACCAGGCAACTGGGCCTCCAAAATGCTTTTCTGGAAAGAGAGGTCAGGATCAGTATTTCTTTTGGTAGATTTTACCTTGTTAGTCTGTACCTTAAGTTCTACATAACGCTCCTGGACTTCCCCGGAGTTCAGGGCCACGGCCAAGAAGTGGGTAGGCTTCATCTTCTTTCGCAGGGAAGTGATAAGATGGAGAATCTGACGCAGTGCAGCGCAGACCTGACTGCGTTGTTTGGCCCTGATAATCACGTCGTTGGATCTCTCGTTTTGACGTGGAACATAGAGCTCTGTTCTGGTCTCCTCTTCGATGCGGCGCTTTGTAGAACCCTTGAGGCCAATTAGTCCTCCATAGAAAGATCTGCAAGAAAGGATAAGGGTGAAAGAGAAGGGCAGCATTTTGGTAGGACTTCACCCACTTGGGCACATGAAGAGCCAGCTTGAAGTCGCCATTTGGTGACTCCTCAATGTTATTGACAGCCGGATCCTCTTCGTCATCGTCTTCGCCATATAAGTCTGGTGGAAAGGGTGATTAGATAGGTACAAATAATCCCGAAAACCACGCACCTGGCTCCTCGTAGGTCTTGTTTACTCCTTTGGAACGTTTATTTTGGCCATTCCACTTGTCGCCCCCAAAGTCTTCGTGAACAATGTTAACCCTATAGCGCCGGTTTTGGCTCATGGCTTGGACAGGAGGTGAGAGCACTTCGCGACTCATAGTGATCGAAGAACTTCAGAATGCACGTCGAATTCAGGGGATATCCCGAAATCAAATGAATTTCTTTGAAAAAGCGAAAGCCAGCCGGCAAAAGTGAAAAATGCACTAATGCGTTTCGTGGAATATTCAGGATATACTGCAATAATACCAAACGCAAATAATAGTGATGGCAAATATGAAAAAAAAGAAATATTTTAAAGAAATTTAAGTGAAGTACAAAATAAAGGTTTAAGTTTCATTACAAGAAAATCAACAATAAGATGTAATATTTTTTATGACTATGAGCAAACAGTATTTATTTGAAATGGTATTGTGTATTATTTCAAGCTAGGGTATCAATAGATATATAAATTCGATTTTATATTCAAAATTGTGCTCTATAGAAGTAAAATATTGTAAAACCAGTTTTTAAGACACAAAAATAACTGGTTTTCAATTGTAATTCCTACACCGATAATATCGTGTCACGCAGTACTGACTCTCCCACCCCCAACGCACAAGTCGCCCATCCCTAAACCAGTTCGAGTTTCCCCCAATTTGACAGCAATTTTGTTAATTTCATCTGGAAAAGCAGAAAAACTGGGAATTAATAACAAAAATGTCGCAGCGCTAAGGTGAAAACCAGCACTGTCTGCCCAAAAGGCGAAGTAAGCAGCGGATAGCGCCGAAAAGTGTGCGACATTAGCCTGCGGAGCCAGTGAATCACTAGTAGATAAAGACATTGGGTTGGCCAGTGGAGCGCCTGCTGGAGGAGCAGCCACCATAGCAGCCCCATCGATCGCCCCCAATCCGCTCCCGCTGCAGCTCCAGGTGGAGGTGACCTCGACGCCTCGAGACACGCGCGCCCTTGCCGAAGTGGTGGCCCACATAAATAGCATGGGAAACGACGAGCATCGACGGCGGAAGACTCCTTGCGGATTTTGCATGGCGGTCTTCAAGTGGATCCCGGTGCTGTTCATTACCGCGGTGATAGCCTGGTCCTACTACGCCTACGTGGTGGAGCTGTGCATCCGTGAGTCCTACATTTTGCATATGCCATCATCCTATTCGAGTGAGAACCTATCTGTCTGTTTATACTCCTTTTACAGGCAACACGCAGAACACCATTGGCATGATCTTCATGCTGCTGTTCTACCACCTGTTTCTCACCCTGTTTATGTGGTCCTACTGGCGCACCATTATGACCTCCGTGGGCCGAATACCGGATCAGGTGAGTGAATCACACGCCTTATCGCCAGTTGCTATCAAAAGAAACTGGGAAAACCTCACTAATGCTTTTGTTTGCCCCTTCTTCAGTGGAGGATACCGGACGAGGAAGTGACGCGACTTTTCCGTGCCGACAGCCCGGACACCCAGAAACGCATTCTCAACAACTTTGCACGAGACTTGCCAGTCACTAATCGGTAAGAATTTACCATGTCATCAAGTCCACTTCCGCTAATGCCGTTTGATTAATTTAGATATTTTGTAATTGTTCGGCAAACATTTGATTGTACACATCGCAATCGCAAGCTTTTGACATTATAATTCATATTTATCTATTACTATTTCAAAGGAGTAGAAAAACTGGTCCAATTTCGAAAGAACTTTATTTAATAATATCTTTTAAGTTACTCACATGAACCAGACAGAAATTATCGCCATTGCAATTTTTCGCCTGTTATTTTTTATTTAAACTATTTAAACATAAATTCCCCTTGCTGTAAATATTTATGAATAATCACCGACGCATTTTCTTTCCAGCACAATGAACGGCTCGGTGCGGTTCTGCGAAAAGTGTAAGATCATCAAGCCGGACCGAGCGCACCACTGCAGCGTGTGCAGCTGCTGCGTGCTGAAAATGGACCACCACTGCCCCTGGGTGAACAACTGCGTCAACTTCTACAACTACAAGTACTTTGTACTGTTCCTGGGCTACGCCCTCGTCTACTGCCTGTATGTGGCTTTCACCTCGCTGCACGACTTTGTTGACTTCTGGAAGGTAGGTGCCGTAAGTTTCGCATTTTTTTCTACTCTTATTACCACCCTATTTGCCCGCTGCATGCGATGACCTGTTAGTTAATGAATGTATTCTCTCGTTTCGCTATAATGTTGTCTAAACAACTTGTACTTACTGATCCAAGTACGATAATAATGGTTACTCGGCACAGGGACAGCTGAACGCCAGCGGAATGGGTCGCTTCCACATCTTGTTCCTGTTCTTCATCGCCATAATGTTTGCCATTAGTTTGGTGAGTTTGTTTGGCTACCACATCTACCTGGTGCTAATGAATCGCACGACACTAGGTGAGTCATTGAGGTCTGACATTGCAATTACGGCCCGACTATAGCCTCCGCTATTCATCTTCCATTTAGAGTCATTTAGGGCTCCCATCTTCAGAGTTGGCGGCCCGGATAAGAATGGCTATAACTTGGGCCGCTATGCCAATTTCTGCGAGGTATTCGGTGATGACTGGCAGTACTGGCTCCTGCCCGTCTTCTCTAGGTATGTCCCCGGCCTTTTACCACACCATCTTGATCTTTGGCATTCTCACACTCCCATTCTTACTAATCCGTGCTGCACTAGAAGCTCTCTCACTCTTTAGTTGTTGTTTTTGTGCGCTTTGTTTTTATTTGATTTGATTTATTTTATGATTTTGGTTTTTATGTTGAATATGGCAAATTAAAGGCATGCTTCAAAGCCAATGCTTCGTAGTTGAAACCTTCTTTAATTCTTGATGTGTGTTCTGTGTGCTAAGTTAATACAAAACGAAAAGAACTGCCCGAAATCACTAATTTTAAATAGTTTAAAAGCAATTCTTAACACTTATTATTTATGTAAGTCCAATAATAATTGTATGTCCAAAACTGAGAGCGAAAAGCAATGAACCAATATTGTCGATCTCCTTTTGTAATTTAGTTGTAAGCATAATCAAAATTACCACTTGATTTCACTTGCGTTTGTTGTTTCTGTTTGTAAATAAAAAGAGAAGCCCCATGCCAGCGAGCTTTAGAGATAGAAACTTAGATCTAACCAAAAACCAGCTTAGTGTTCAATTGTCTGCGGGATTAGGTGACTAACTTTAAATGCCAAAGTTCTAGCAGAACCCGTGGAATTCCATCAGCTTACCTAAAACCAAAACACTTGCCACACACGAGCAATCGAAACAATTCAATTTCCATATTCGAAACCACACATTTGTGCAAAATTATTTAACAAACAAACTGCAATCAACAACAACAGCTACAACTACAACAAGCTAAACTGTAAAAAAAAAACAACAATCAACTCGAAAACTTAACAAACAAACAATACTTATGTTTAAAACTCTCTGTTTAACGCAATACCCCAACCTTCTGCTTATTCACAATCACGGAACTAGTCGCGGTAGTGGCTACAGCTATCCGACCTCCAGCGACCAGAGTCGAGTGTCCAC